GTTTAGCTTTAGGCTACAGTATGCTCTGTTGTTCCAGGATGGAAATATTGCATGGCAGAATTAGTTTGACTGCCCAGGCTTTTCAAAATGTTAGTGCACCAAGGAGTGAGGTTTACAGACGCCGTAGGCCCCATGAACATATCTGAGCTGTGAGGCAGAGGGATAGCAGGGGATGGTAGGTAGAGATTTCTTTGGTACTGTCATGGTTACAACTCTGCCAATTTTAAACCATGATGGCACCACAGGCCCCTAGCATGGTGTAGGTGGTATCTAACTCAGCCTGTTATGTTTCTTGTCAGGCAAACGAAAAAAAAATTAGCAAGTTGGAGATAAGTAGTGGGCAGTTGGGAGTTACTCAGCAGGAACAAATGGATTTGTCTGAGAATGCATACAGAGATCTGAACTCTTCTTTCCATCCATCCTGAATCAGTCCAGTGGAAAGACGTGAATGTTTGGATTATACTGCATTGACTGCGTTGAGGTTTGAAAAGATATCTCTTGTGTGTTTCAGGCTAAACCTCAAAAACCTTTTGCATTAGTGTCATTGTATAATAATGTATGTGCTTAAGACTGTGCTGCAGTTGCACCTCGATGATTTTTTCCACTTTAGTAAGAAAGAAAAAAGGTTTAGAATAGAGATGTATTTGAAAAAGCTTCCCACTTAGTGTTGCTGAAGTAGAGAGGATTTTAGCACAGAGAGGATTTAGCTGCCCAGTTTCGTCAAAGGCTCCTCTGTGCACTCCGCTGGCCAAGAGTTGTTAGTATGCACTGTGGGGTGCTTTTTGAAAAATTCTTCCTTGCTGCTGTGTACTGTCTTTTTAAGATAAATCATTTCCCTATCTTCTCTAGCAGTGACCATGATAACTGCTATGGCTTGACTAAACACATTTCTGCTATGCCTCGGCTGTTAAATTATGCATTATTTGTTGCTGTGTGATAAACAAACCTTAGGATCTTGAATCCCAGTTGTTGTGTGTTACAGAAGAGCCATTCTTACACATAGCTCCTGACTGCTGTGACTCATGAGATGCATTGTTTTGGCCACAGCGAGCTATGATTATGACTAGGGAGATAGGTAGCTGTCCACAATAAAAGGGCTCAGCTCTCCCTTTACATTTGCTGAAGTAAAGGAACATTTTCAGTCCTGGAGTGGTAAAAACTGGATGGGACACAGCAGAGTTTTGGGGCATCAGTGAGGGAGTTTTGCTTTGCTGGCAGCAGAATTATCAAGGGAGGATGTGTTTAGAAATAACAAGAGTTAGTGGTGGAAAATAGAGAGGTAAAACAAATTGTGCAAGTAGGTTGAATATTACAGCCTTTTTAGAGGAATTTCACTACAATTTCTCCCCTCAAATGGCATCACATCCTGTAACTTCTGTTAGGATGTGTTCTGTCACATAGCATTCCCTGCTACACCACAGTGTTTCAATTTAGCCGCACCCACACTAAGCCACCTCAGAGTGTTCTGGTTGACTCATTTGACTAGTGCTCATGATAAAAGAAATAGCCACAGTGAGCTAATCTCCTTCTCAGATCGTTGGAATTTGAAGCCCCCTGTTTTCTACATTAGATGGGGAGAGGAAATACCCTCACCCCTGTGACCTGTGGAATGCAGAGAGAGAGAGAGAGAGAGGGAAGAGTCATCAGGTTCTCTGCAACTATGGCTCAGATAGCTTGAATTTCCACAGACACCAGAATTGACTTACTCTACCTCACTCAGAGTGGAATATAGGAATCTTAGTATGTGACAACGAATTTGAGCATCACTTTGCTAATACTTTGTTTGTTTGTACCAACTAAACTCCTAGGTCCTGCTCATGTGGAGGAGGGTTGAGTGACAGATTATACCTAAAGAAAGATAGCTGCACTACTTTGAACATGAGGAGATAAAAGAATATATTACATGTTCAGCAAACAGTTATTCAGTATACCAGTCAACATTTTCATGTCATTAGAATCAGCTGATTGAATGATAAAATAATTTGTAATGGATGTCAACTGATTTTCATCAGTGTCTAATCAATCAAAGTATACCTAGAAAAGAATGTGGACGATTGATGGTCATGTACAAGTTCAAGAAACTTGCCTATTAAGGCCTGGAAGCATCGTCATGGGTTTTTTGGCTCTATCTGTTTGCTGTAATCTTTTATTAGTTACGGTGCGAGTCCTGGCAAACCTTGGCGTATCCTTGCCAAAGTGTTAAGATGTGCAGGGAGGGAACACTAACCCATTCTCCAAAGGGAATATTAATGAATTCCTGTAGCCCACACTGCACTGGTGTCATCTATATTTCAGGAGCTTTGCAACCAGAGTGGTCTGTTTAGGCTGTACCCCTCCTTCTCCATAATCCAACACCCCCTGAAAAGGACCAGTACCAAGCAGTCTGTAGATCCATATCTGGGTCAGGCCTAAATATTAATTCCTCTTTTGTCAATGCCCTCCATTTTAACCCTGCATGCAACTTGTGTTGAACTGCAGCTTGTGGAAATATGGTAGGACTCCCCCTCCCAAATGTCTGAACTTCCTTTGGAAAGTCTGCACTAAGCACTTTTTTTGTGCTTGGCCTTTTTTTGTCATAAGTTTATTCAGTGTGATCACTTTATTCATAGCATTGGAATCTGTGTGTACATGCGCACAGGGAAGTGGGTTACAAGTGAATAATTTAAATAGTGACCCCTATGCATACGTGTGAGATTGGCAGAGTTTGTCACTGTGTGACTATGTTTGGGTGGATATCCTTCAAGCCCTTTCACTGGCCTGGTTACTGATAACAAAGGCAGGAAGAGCACAGGTCAGACTTTTCTTCCTGGTAAGAGAGAGTGGAACCAAGATGCCACATCCTCAGCATCCTCCGTCGTCATACCATAGCTTTTGCATACTGAAGGGGAGGTTAACTTGATGCAAACCACATGTTCTGCTTTTAGACAATGCAAGGAAATGTTGTGGCAAATGATCACATGCACAACTGCACATTTACATAGAAATACACTAAAATCACCAGAGTTTAGTAAGATTTTTTTTTCTTCTGTTTTCTCTCCTCAGTCATGTCGGGTGAACACTGTATAAGCGGAAATGAAATGTTTACTGTCAGGGAGAAGCGGCTTATGAATAATGATATGAATCAGCGCAATGCTCCCATTAGTGTGACATTTCAAGAGGACAGAAGAAATGTTTCGTTCTACAGATAGAGTTAAAATGATTGGGGGACAGAAGGCATAGGAAAAGAAGAGGTTGCTGACAATAAGAGTATTGAGTTGTCTGACAGAGAGGCTCTCAAGATACTAAGTCAAAGTGTCTGTCACAACTCTGGCTCTATGGGTTCTCAGCTCAAGATGACATTAGATTGTATCTATACAATCAGGCATCTGTTCATCTGTGTACTTAACTGTACGTAGCAGGTAGTGAGGCGAGTATACGGCTGGGTGTTGGGTTACAGTGGTTGCTGAATGTTGACCTATACAGCGGGATTGCCAAGGATGGAGCCAAGATAACAACAGTGAGTGTTACTACTTAAAAGTATAGACAGAAGGCAGTAGAATTTTGTCAGTAGGGAAGTCTGCAGGAAGTGATGGACTTTGATTTCTGCTGCATTGTAAAAACACAGGATATTGGCTATTCGGTTGATCTTCTGGGGTTAAGATACATCCTATGATATGTAGAAGTACAGGATTTCAGTCTCGTCACATTTTCTGTCATTGACCTTCAACTATCGACTGTTACAATGAAAGGAAAATGCCAGAGCCTATCTCTGAAGGATTAAACGCTCATTAAACAGCCATCAATGGCTGGTTTAATGATCATTTTAATGCCGTGTACTATTACAGTCAAACTAGGGATGCTCGGTGTTGAAGTTTTTTGTCGATATCCAATCATTTTTATGGTAATGTCAACTGATACAGCTATAAATATTATTCATTGCCTTGTAATAATAATCATAGTTCTATTTTTCCACAAGTTGAGCTTAACTATTGTACAAAAACTGATGGTCCGCGGTCAGTAGAGATGTGTGCTACTTACAGCCTACATTCTGTAACATACTGTCACCTCAAATGACAGCAGGTTCTTGTAAATATCAAAATGCTGCTTCTGCTTCCTTCTGTCATCACACAAGTTTTTAGAAATTATCAGTAAAGTAAACCAGAAATTCATCACAAATGTGGTTAGTACACATTGTCACAATTTGACAAAAGTTGTTTATTGTGACTGAAAGAAAGTGTTTGCATAAAATTATACATGATGATAATCGAACAATAGTGATAGAATATTTTGAAGCAGTATTTCAATTGAGAAGATGACCAACATCTCATGCATCCCCATCTTAAAACTAATCTAATAGATATGCCCTCTATGGTCAAAGATGAACAAAATAGCTCTTGCAGTCTTGGTTGCTGTCTATCTTTGTCTTCCAATGAAGCCTGTGCACATGTGATACAATCCTTTCCTGACCATACAAAGGCAGTGCAAGTCAAGACAGAACATGCAGCGTTTACAGCTTGGTCAGTTTGCACTCTGCTAGAAGATATGTCCGACAGAGATTGAAGATATTGTGAAGTCAGGTGAAAGCAATTGAGTCTGAGCTTTCACCCTCTGAGGGCAGGGCCATTATACAGCAGATAGATGACCAGTGACGTCTATCTTCCATTGAGGGAGTTTAGCACATGATGCCCTATTTTAATGCCTTCCTAAATGCCGTCTTGTAGCGAAGAATGATATAGGTTCATTACTACTGATCAGCTGCAATGACCTTTTGATGGCGAACTTTATAAAGTTCTAGGTTTCATGAGCAGGCAATTTGGCACTTTAATGGGAAGGGTGGGGGTTAGGATTCAAGATTTGTTGGAGCAAAGCCTAGTGCCTTGGCACAGCAAGTTACTGTCACAGTGAAAGCTGTTAAGTAACAACTGCCATCTGTCCCTGCACTTGTCCACATACTTCTATTCTCTATGTATGGAGTTTATTTACTGTATGCACTGATCTGTTTCCACTTTTGTCATTCACAGCTTGTGTCGGAGAGTGTTTGGTTGCAAGGAAGTGTATGCGTGCATGTGTGTGTGCGTGTGTGAGAGTGTGAGAGAGACACTAAGAAGAATCCAGTGATGGCTACCAGTAAAGGTAAAAACCAGAGCTCTCTGGCACTGCACAAGGTGATAATGGTGGGCAGTGGAGGCGTGGGGAAGTCAGCCCTCACCTTGCAGTTCATGTATGATGAGGTGAGTCAACACACTCCCTATAAACAACTTAAATTATAAAGTGCGCTGTGGTCCAAGGTGACCACAACAGATAGAGGAGCAAGGGTTTCAACATTAAGCATGAGTAATCTGCTCCTCTTTGTCTAACCAGTTTATTTTTTATTATTAGTCCACTATCCTAATCTAGATATCAATCACTGGCTAAATAAGTGGTTGATGGTTGAATAAGTCAGCTCTTCATATAGAAGCTTCAAATTCAATGGCCTCCTTTCAGTGGTTCACCAAAAGAAAGCTCTTAATGTGAAGCAGTTGCAAGAAATATTCGATACGAAATAGTTCAGAAAACAGCAAAGCTGCCATCTGTTACATGAAAGTAAGAACATGATTGTAGGAACAAAAGTGGCTCAATCACAGAGATGCTCCAAAACTAATTAAAGGGTTACAACATAGGAATTTTTGTAAAAAGGACACATTCCTCAAGTCCATTGCTTCCTTGACCACAGTGATTTACTGTGACAATAGCACTTAACACAAGTAAGAGCGGAGGCAGTCTCCCTTTATCACTGCTACCCAGAAGCATATCAGCAGCATTTTTCAGTCATCTGTCTGATATCCATTACATGTTTCAGATACACATCCATTTGAACTATTGTAGCTGTCTACACCAGCTGCATGTGTTGATGGGACGTATGAAGCTGAGGCTCTGAGGCGTGTACCAGATGAAGCCTCGCTTTGAGGCTTGTATCGTTTTGCAGAGAACCTCTTGACCAATGACAAACAAGGCCTCGCATTGCATGAGACACTGGTTCATTTTTAATTGCTGCTTTCTGGATAAAGGCGTTGTAAACACCTGTGGGTTGTTGTTGTTGTTGGTAGTTTACATTATTAGATTATAAAAATTTTGAATGAATAATGAGTCAATGACATAATGAATAGCACAGTGGTAATAGAAGGGGTAGAAGGGATTTTTACGAGATTCATGAATGATTTGGCTTCCGCACATTAACTTGAGATGTTGCTAGTGAGTACTGTTGAAGCTCAGAGTAATTAACCTTTTGGCAAACCAATGGACTAAGAAGCCTCACTGCTTCTCAAAGACTAATTTGCTAGCTAGCCATATGCTTTTACTGCTCATACCTCACTGTTGTTTTAATAATGCAACTTGTAGAATCTCTTTAAGCTTCAAGACCTCTTAAGAAATGAATCCTTTCATCCCCAGTTTGTGGAGGACTATGAGCCCACCAAGGCTGACAGCTACAGGAAGAAGGTGGTTCTGGATGGGGAGGAGGTCCAGATTGACATCCTGGACACAGCAGGCCAGGAGGACTACGCTGCCATCAGGGACAACTATTTTCGCAGCGGGGAGGGCTTCCTACTGGTCTTCTCCATCACAGAGCATGAGTCCTTCACTGCCACTGCTGAGTTCAGGTACTGATGCAGTTTAGTTGGTGTTGATCATGACTGATATGATGGATATCATTCTGATTAATTGATTATGTTGTTGTAGAATGTATCCATAGCAGGCATGGGCCCAAAGCAGCCACTTAATAATAGGCATGTCCCTTTAATTTTCTTCTTTTGCCTGCAATCTGTCTGCCAGTACCAGATTGTAAATTCGTAATGCAAATCCAGGTAAGAAGATTGTTTAGGAGCTCTGCATTTAGAAAACAGAACCTGCACCCCAGCTTTGCTCTAATGATGTTGCTATAGTGTGTTATGTAATATTTGTAAAGAGAAGATGACAGTGTGGATCTGTTGAGGTAGGGAGGTTTTGATAGGATTTAGACAGCTTCTCTTCATCCTCAGCATTAACAAAATACTGAAGCTCAAATGCAAATTTAGTCGACAGCACTGTAGAATCATGTACACCTCCAAAATGCTGATGAGCTATGTTGATGAATTAGAAGTGAGGAAGCAAAGTGACTGTCACTGTATCTTTCTGAAAGCACCAATCAAAGATCACTCACTTATTTACATAAGTAAAAATGGAGTACGGGAAATACACAATCTGTTCCGTGCAGGGAGCAGATCTTGCGGGTGAAGGCAGAAGAGGACAAGATCCCTCTCCTGCTGGTAGGGAACAAGTCAGACCTGGAGGAGCGCCGGCAGGTATCTGTGGAAGAGGCCCGGGGGAAAGCTGAAGAGTGGGGCGTCCAGTACGTAGAGACATCAGCCAAAACCAGAGCCAACGTCGACAAGGTGCATCTATACATACAAAATACTCGGTGACCTATTAAAGGTCACTGACTATAAACTGATGTACTTTCAAACTTTGGATTGTATCATTTCTTTATCAGATTTAAATGTTATGACAGTAAGGAAGTCTAAACACTTAACTGATTTCTCCTTTTTTCTCTCCAGGTATTCTTTGACCTGATGCGAGAAGTACGAGGCAAGAAAATGTCAGAAAACAAAGACAAAAATGGAAAAGGAAAGAACAAGAAGAACAAGAAGAGTTTCAAAGAGAGATGCTGTTTACTTTGAACCCTTCATGGACCTTAACACCCCACAATACAACTGAAAGTTGGGGGACAAAGCAGAGCGTCCTTGCCATTGTCATTCAAATGAAATTTAATCTTTTTTAATAGCTGGTTATAGTTTAGTGTCTAGAACAGTCTCAACCACTTTTTTTGCCATTTTTAATTGATGAAATCTGAGTAGCTGTTTCATTGGAAGATAACCACTGTTGTGACTGTGACTTGGACTGCAGTGCTTGATGGCTCATAGTAAGCCAATGACCAAACTGCCACTGACACTAACTCTGCTGCTCAAGACAGTCTCCACTGTTTAACTCAGCGATTATACTGCCTTTGACTTTGGTTCAGTGTGTTTTACACCAGAATTGTTGAGTCTTTGTCGAGTTAACAGTGCTCTTAATTTCTTTACCTGCTCTTGAACTTACCTGCATATTTTTTGTCTTAGTATAAACCCCTGGAGTCTATGATCATCATTGTACAAGAACTCTAATGCTGCTGTCTGACATATTTGTAATCATTAATGATGACAGTGTCCTGTCTGTTGAAGATGTTGGCCTCATTCATCTGTCAAAATTTGTGTTTGTGTTTTTCTGCGTGTTTTGAATGGCTGTTGAAATGGGAACTTTCAAATGTTTTCATTTTTGAGGCTGCTTTTACAGTTCTTGTTTTCAGTTTATACAATTCTTTGCGATTTTCTAACTACAGAAGAATTATACAGTGCAATCAGAAGATTTGTTGCTAAACAGGGTTGTTTTATTCCATTACCAGGCCTTACATGATGACTACAATTTAATCATGAGATGCTTAGCAGTTCCTGTGGAGGACTGTCGCTAAGTAAAATCTTCGGTGACCCTAATTCACAGAAAAACAAAAAAAAATTCTGGTAGATATTTTATGTGTATAGATATTTTGAGGCTGTGAAAGGAAGGCAGTAATGTTGCTATTGTTAAATGAGCAGTGACTAAGAGGGGAGAGTAGACCTGGTTTTCTTCATGGTGCTCTGCCATGTTCATGCAATCTGGCCTTTTCCACTCTCCTCACGGTGCAGATCACTTCCTGTTTTACATGACTGTTGAAGTGTGGAGTCTTTGCTGGTTCTATGCTGTGAGACAGGTGTTGACAATCCAGGAGGCTGCCGTGCTTCTGGTCCACCATGCCATTCTAATCAGTAGCTGCTTATTGATCTGAACAATTCTGATGTTCTTTTTTTATTCCTGGGTCTCTTGAACAATATGCACTACATTGCCAATACCTAAGAAGTGGACTTCATGCTGACTGGTGTCACGCTGGAGATTTTGAAACAAATTGTGCCAACAAAATTACAAAAAACTCCAAACTATGTTTGTGGATGTACAGTGTGTATGTTATTTACCTGAATGTATGTGCATTTACCAGAAAACCCCACCACCTTTCTGTGTGTGTGAGTGAAGCTTTGATGAGGGTGCCAACTTCTTAACTGTTGTTTAATCAAGTGCTACAGTGAACAAGATGTTTCTACCACTGCCTAAACCATTCTTTATAACATGTCCTCCTTTTTTCTTTTACTTCCTACTACTGTGAGTATGCTTTTATCTCTCTGAAGTGAGACTGTCGCTGAATAAATGCTTTTTTCTTTGTAAATACTGGAAATTATTTTGTCTGTGAAAACTCTCAAAACAAACACATAGAATGTCAAAGGTTCACACACCATGAGGTTCAGGTGCCCGCCAAGTCTGATTTTATAGTACAGCCATAGTAGCATATGATTTATAGTTGGTTAAACAGTTTAAAACCATGTCAAATAAAAGTGAATTGGCTCCCATCAGATGACTTAAGTACTACATATTGCCCTCCATTGGCTGGTGGAGGTAATAGAACTACTTAATGTATGGACACTGTGCAGCTACTTTTGCATTATCCAATGGAGTGAAATGTTATGGTTGTCATTTCTTGTTCCCTTTGGGGCATTCTGTGCCCCAGTTTAGTCAAATAACCCACCAGTTACTCACTTTGCATTGATTGTTCCTCTGCCATCTAGAAAAGGCTGCCAAAGGCCTGTTTTTCTTTAGTTTGACAGTGATATACAACCACCATTTTTATTAACCTTACATGCTTATCTTGTATGGCAGGAATGGTGTAACACCATCCTCAAGATGAACCAGTCATGGGCTGTCATCGCTGAACCCTAAGGGGTGGTCCAGTCAGCAAAGCTCATTTCACAATGTGAAAACAGGGTTGACTACATCACCGGGCAAAGGCTGACCATACATCACTTTCAAAATAGTTTTCCTGTGAATGATAAGAGGAAGTGTCTTCCCTTTGTGTTGTGTAAAAGGAAGGGAATACTCCGACTTTTACTGTGATTACACAGATATAGATAGACATAGATGTCCTCTGTAGCTAAGCATAAGAAAGCAGTTTGTGATTCACTCTGATATGCTGAAGACCGCTGCCTTGGAGATCCAAATAGGAAGAGGACTAAAATTTACCAAACAATGCTGCCTGCAGCATTCCTGCAGGGACTTATTCGTGTCTCTCTTACTCAAAAATGAGTTTATAGTGACCTTATTCTGCTTTATTTTAAAATCTCCCATAGTAATCCTGCAGGAATGGAAGATTCATGGTGATATTTCTATAGCCTCCTGGGAACAGAGAGTCCATCTTTTCCAGCACTATTTTAGCATTAAGTCCCCTTTGGTGTCAACACTCAAGTATCCCTCATGTAGTCAAATCAATTGGCTATTTGTTGGCACCGCAGCAGCTCCAGGCTGTGCATCTTAACAGCATCACAGATAAGACTGTTACTTCTCTGCTCTTTTGAGAAGAGAATTGTATATTTACAAGTATTGATCAGATGGGCAAACACCAGGTGAATTCTTAAATTTAGTGTTCACCTTTTAAAGGGGAAAGTGCAGAGAAAAAATTTTGAGGGAATTTAAACCTGTAGCATTAATGGCAGCCTCTGTTCCACATTTACTGCGTGCTTCACATAAACACACTAATCCCCCGCAATTTATATCACTGGTGAAACCCACCAGGTTTGAAAGCCTGTGGCAGCATTTCCACTAGAGAAGCTAAACATGTCACAGCTCTGATAAGCACATTTACCTGCCTGACACTCACCTCTCTGGATTTCCACTGTCCCCCCTGTACCTCTAAGTAGGCAGATTAGGTGGTCTGTTAAACCCGCAGGAAGGCACTTATTTAGAAATATATGAAAGGGCAAAGTGAGTCAGTCTAATGACCGATGCAGTGTCACCGGCGCACTCTTGGGTCTTTTATCATTCTGTAGAGAGGGCTCCCGTCCTCTGAGTAACCCTCATTATATCAGAGCTAATGTTGGGGATGAGGATGTTCAAGTGATAAAGCACCATCACAGTCCTTCATTATACAGAAAGAGAAACAGACTCGGTGGAATTCTGCTCGACCTATAAGATAAATGCAATGGACAGAGAATAACTCCAATTTTAGCGACTGTGCCATACCCTGCTGTCTGCACGGTGCGTCTCACAGGGGAGACATGTTCACTCTTTCACCATGGGATGGCAGTCTTGGTATTCTGTGGACCCAGTCCGCTGTTTGCTGCTTTCTGCATCATTAGTTCTCTCACCATGCTTTCCACTACTACTGGTCTTCATTCAGTGGTGACTATTGACTCACTGAATGCCAATGAATGAATGTTTATGTTTATCGGCTGTTATTAAACAATCAGTTCATGCAAAATTACGTTTATCTATTAATTACAACAGCATTAGTTATGCCATTAGTTAAATCTTTGTTTTTAATTTTCATAAATCAAGAACAAGTTTGCTTGGACAAAGTTAACATTAGCTGTTGGGCGTATGCCATACTGAAACCTTAGAAGAAGAAAAACAAACTCTTACTTGACACTCATATTCAGTGTGTTGAGTAAAATATTTACTGACCGACAGAGGAAAGTCAAAAGTACAAAAGCAGTTACTCTCCACTGTCAACAACAACAGCGGCTTTCAACAGTGAACCATCACTCTGGATCACACAAACATCAAATTTGACCAGGTTGGCAGTCATGTAAGACGTGTATAGCTGCTGTTGTCACCATCAAAAAAAGATATCAAACCTACGTGGACTGTTAGAAAACATCAGCCCATACTTCTACACTGCATTGTGTGGCTATAATAACAAAACTATCAACAGCTTCACACTACAGCACAAATGACTGTCAGTGGAAGAAAGAAAGCCTGTTAGAACCATCGGCCACGCTCGCCGTTTATAAAGAGTGAGTCGCTACATCAGCAAATCCTCAGTGCAGGCTGTGTCTTCATACGTTCTCCATGCTGTTTCTGTGTGTGTGTGTGCACACGCGTATCTACTATACAAAAGACCTCTGTGGTTGACAGTATAATGGAATCCAATGGAGTCAATCACTGTGCTCACCACTCCATACAACAGGATGCATTGCCTTTATACATGTTGAGCTCAATGTTCATTCTTTAAGAATTAGATATGTAAAGTGTTAATGATCAAATCAGGCTACAGATGATGTTTATGCCTCATCATAAATAAATAAGTAGTCATTGATTAAAATAAAGTCAGAAACTTTTCTTATTTTTTGACTATATTCTGTGACCATTCCTTGTGTTAGTATTTCCTGTCTGTACACCATCTTGTCATATACTTTTATTTTTATTTTGAAATTTCTGTATTGGAGGTGCTGCATCTGCTACGTAAATTTGTTTTAATTTCCTGGGGCTGAATCTTGGCTTTTATGGTGAAATACTGGATAGTTCTACACCACTGAGCCGCAAACAGTTATTCAAATGAGAAGTTTAGAGGGGAAATTGCTCTTTGGTGGAACAGCCAACAACTCATAAAATGTGACAAGGAGCCCAAGCCAGAAGCTGCTTCTATATAAGGGTTCACAAGACAATAACCTTGAGAATCACAGCTTTAGAGCCCGGCTCTACAGGACAATTGATAAAGCATATACACTGTGCTTTAACTCTTCCTGTAACACAGTCAATACACTTCCAGTCAGTCAGGTAGGGGGGCCTTTTATCTGTCTTCATGAACGACTGCAACTCACAGAAGTTTCCCCTGAATGATAAGAGATGGACAGACTGACATAGTTGTTATTATTTCTTTTGATGGTTAGAAATGGAGCAGTAAGACTTCATAATGTCGGAGCCCACACATGTAAAACTTAATGTGTAATTATACCTGACTAGAGTTGTTACTAGAAAATCAAGCTGTGAAGCAGTGATGTCAAGATATAAAGCTACATAAACAAGCACCATTTTTTTATGGACATGCAGCTCCTATTCCCACATATCACCATGGAAGTTAATGGATTGTCGGAGCCGAGGCTGGCAGTATACACAAATTAGCACTGTCCTCCTGTAATCAGTAACACAGAGGACACAAACACATTAGCAGGATCTGATGTAACTCTTCGTTGCACCTTAAATTAATGAAAGAACCAATCTAGCAAGACCGATTTGACGTTTAAGCAAACAGTGTGAATCAAAGTATGTCATGCAATTCACTACATGGGCTTCTACAGTTGCAGGTGATGTGTTCAATCTCATCTCCAGCAGACCTGATCAAACCTGCACTTGGACAAACAAAAACAACATGACAACTGAAACACTGTGGAGAGAAACATCCATTTAGCCTGTCAGAAACATCCTTTTCAAATACTAAATGACACAATTGTTAAAGTTGCTTTAATTGCTATTGTTTGTGATTTACAAAATAGCCTAATTGGCACACTCTATACCTCTATACCCAGGAAATTCAGGATAGGCTTACCAAAGCTGTCATGTATTTAATTATGAAGCACCCTCAGTGGCAAATGTTGACTGCAGAGAATAATATTACCAGCAATTTTCACATTATTCTGTCTATTCTGCTGTTCTTTTCCACACAGTGATTCAAGCTATATGCAATTTCTGAGGTCTTTGGTGTTGTAAGCACTGTGTGGCATGATTCTTTCCAGGGAGCAATCCTCTGGTGCACACACTTTGCACCGAACAGACGACAAGATCTGCTGACAGTCACCATGAACCACATGAGGACCGCACAAAAGTACAAACATTGTCGGCTACCAGTTAATAAATGGCTAAAACGTCAATGGTAAAGTACATTTGCATCCATCATTACAATGATATTTGAAATATACTTACCGAGCGAACACTGCATTCCTTGAAATCTGTTTTGTTAGGAAAATGCTTGAATCTTTTTTTTTTTTTTTCTAGGCTGCCTTGCCATTTTGAAAGCATTATAACAGTGAGATTGCTCCATATTCTTTTTATTTTTAACAAACCACAAATCCCTTGCATTTAAATGAGCAGTCTTACACCTTGCGTGTTTCATCTTGAGCTTCAGTTGTCTCACCATCTGTGGCCATGCAGCTTCAAACAGGCTGCAGAATAAACAAAACGCTGTTTCACTGTTTTTAAGATGTGCTTATATTCATATTTACTCTTAAATTTTTAGCTAGGGAAGTAAACATGACAACTGCATGGTAGGTGCACACTGAAAAGATGTGTTTCCATGGCTGCAGGGTGCAAAGGCATATTTTATTTGTTTTGTTAAATCATGTTTTTAATCATTTGGTAACACTTTACCCCAACTCCCTCCCAGTTAGCATTTATAAACAC